GAGCTTCGGGCATCAAGCTCGAGGTCGACATGGGCTTTCTGGCCAACGAGAATGCGATGCTCACGCGGCAGATCTACGACGCGCGTGGCAAGGCTGCCGCGTATGCCGACATGCAGGCGCGTCTCGAGACGACGCCCGAGGTCGCGGCAGCTCGGCGCGACGGTAGCGCGACACGTCACGACGATCCACGGGCGTCTTCAACGCATTGCCGAGGCCAACGAGCCATCCGTGCAGACGACGACTTCGCACCTGTCTGCGCAGCTCGTAGCCGCCGGAAGAAATACCGCGGGTGCCTCATCGCTGTCGCCTCGATCGTGCGCAGACCCGAGAGGCGCTGGGATCGACGCGCTTCCTGCTATCCTGGACACAGGTACTCGAAGGCGAGTCGCGCATGAAGACACGGGGCGTCGAGTGTAGTTTGATTGCGATTACGCGGCCTTCGTAAACGTGTACATGCAGTACGTGTCGCTCATTTCGTTGAAGTGCAAGTCAAAGAGGTCGGCGCTCGAGCCCACAAGCGGGTTGGTCTTGAGCGCGTCGGGGACAATGGTCATGCTGACACGGAACCCGCGGGTTTCCATCGCGTCCTTGAACTCGACGAGCGAGTCGCGCGCCTGGGACGCCACGTGGAGGAAGCGGCCGCCAGGCACCAGCACCGCGTCGACGACCTGCGCGAGGATCGGGACAATGTCCTTGTGGTACACGAGGTCCGAGCCCAAGACCACGTCAAAGACGTCGCTGCCGTACGTCTCGGGCTTGGCCCAGTCGACGGCCCGGACGCTGAGTGTCGTCGGCGCCGCGTTCGTCTTTTGTGCCAAGAGCTCCTTGCACACGCCCTTGTGCAGCTTCCACGCGGCCTTTTGGCACTCGCGCGAGCAGTACGCGACGCACCGGCACCGGCCGCAAAGCATGAGCTTCCCTTCCGGGTTGTCGGCCGTGAAGCGCTGGAGCGTGCCGCACTCGGCGCACCCGACCGCCTCGGGCGACGTCTCGGCGATCGCGGCCTTGGTCGGCTTGTTGAGCTTGGCGTTGTGGTCGAGGTTGGCGACCGTGTGGTGGTAGAGGTCCGTGAGCACGACCGACGCCGCCGAGGTGTAGAGGTAGCACGCGAGGCCGCTCACGCCGCAGCCAGCGCCGAGCTCGCACACGCGCTTGTTGGCAAACGAAGCCGCGTCTTGGAGCACCCAGCGACTCAAGATGAGCGACGCCGACCAGATCGAGACGCCCGTGATGTCTTCGTCCGCGCTCGAGCCGAACGCCGACTTGTCCATGTCCAGCGCCTACACCTCATTTGAATTTTATCGGGCGGTAGCATCGTTGGCGTACGAGTTCGCGCGCTTTGAGTGCAGGCAACGTCGCGTCAAAAGCAAACTCGAGCGTCGTTTCCTGCAGCACGCGCGGCTGCTTCTTCATCTCGGCCTCACTGGCCACGTCTTCGTCGTCGTCTTCAAGCGTGAGCTTGGCGGCGCCGTTGGCCAAGTCCGCGTTGTTGGCCAAGCGCTCTTCGGTCGCCGACTTGTGCTCGAGGAGGAGCGCAACTAGTTGATTTGAAGTTGGCGCCAAGCAAAGCGAATAGAGAGGATGCGATATACCAATGTCGGTGTTTTCGCTCTGGAAGGCTTCCGTGACGCAGCCGCGGCCAAAGGCGTTCTGCGCGAGAACGTCAATGTCCGGGTACGCGGCAATGAGGAGCTTGACGACGTCAATATGCTTGTTTTGCACAGCCCAGTCTACACATACACCGTCAAGATCATATCCAACGACGACAAACCTACGCAGCGGCGAGTTGCCGTTCAAGTTAGGCAAGAGGCGCGGGTGCTTGGCGAGGAGCAATTTCACGCAGCCGATGTGGCCGTTGGCGCACGCCATGTGCAGCGCCGTGTTGCCCGAGTACTCGTCTTGGTAGTTGAGGTCATCGGCGCTAATGCTCATGCAAAGCTGCTTGACGTCGTCGACGTCGCCGCAGCGCGCCGCCGCGAGAAGGTCCTTTGCCTGCGCGCTCATGTTGCGAAGCGGAAAATGACCACCCCGTGATGATTGGCTTATGGGCAATACCGCCTCTGATTGGTTCAAAGATCCGACCAATCCGAGGCCGGCGCGGCGCCGATCTTTCCCAAGCAGCGTTCCCACACATGGTTCCCACACATGGTTCCCACAGCAAACCAGACGACGACGACGTGCGTGCGTGCGTCGGCGAGGACCTCCTCTAGCGCCGCACACACGGAACTCGGCGCTTCTTCGCAGCCTATTTTCCAGCTATTTTTTAGCTATTTACTACTAGATACGTTAATATAGAAACCCTCGCCGATGCAGAAAGGACGAGACGGACGCAGGTGCTGCGAGGTAGTACTTGGCCGGACGCTGTCGCTCGTGCCATGGCTCTACGTCGGCATCGTCGCAGCGCGCTGTGCGTAATGTGCTAGCGACGTGTTACGACGTTCCGTAGCAGCAGTTATAACGTCAAAGCCGCGGTAATAACGTCGGGTAACACCATCGTCAGGCCAAGGGGCTCTTTATCCGGCGGGTTCGGATAAAAAGCGCACCACTTTCTGTGACCTGCACCATGTGTGTTACAGCGCTGTCTCATCGAAGCAGCCAATGAGCGACCGTGCTCTCGTTCGATCCAAGGTGCGTAATGTTGGTTCATCGAATCGGGTGCGCTTCTCCGAGACCGCCCCCGACTTCACAATTACAAACTCGAGCAACATGGGCAACAAGGCGAGCAAGGGCGGCAAGACGCGTCCTCCCGTGCAGAGCGAGGCCTCGGGCCAGAGCTCCCTGCGCCCGCAGCCCATCCCGCAGCAGGCGCGCCAGAGCGCTCCGGCGCCTCACTACCGCCAAGACCAGGTACCGCCTCGTGCGCCGCAGGTGCCCAACGCCGTGCCTGTCGCGGCGGCCCCACCGGCGCCGACGCCGATCCCGCCGTCCGCCGTGGCCGCCGCAGCCGACCCGGATTGTACGCTTTGTGATGCCACGTACGGCGAACTCACTATGCGTGCACAATGTAGCTGACGGCGAAGACAACTCGGGGCCGACCGAGGCCATGATCATCAAGGACATGGACGGTTCGACGACGTCCGTGCCGACCAAGGTCACGATCGAAGATTTCGATCTGCTCAAGGTCCTCGGGAAGGGCAGCTTTGGCAAGGTCATGATGGTCCGCAAGAAGGACACGCAGAAGATTTACGCCATGAAGACGCTGCGAAAGGCGGCGCTCATCAAGCGCAACCAGCTCGGCCACACGAAAACGGAGCGCAACATTTTGCAGACGATCAAGCACCCGTTCCTTACGACGCTCTCGTACGCGTTCCAGACGCCGGAGAAGCTGTACCTCGTCATGGACTACTGCTCGGGCGGCGAGCTCTTTTTCTGGCTCAAGAAGGACCGGCGCTTCTCCCAGGTACATCATGCCCTTTCCAGTCGCCTCGTCTTATCGCGATCTTATTTGCGTAGAGCAAGGCGCGCCTCTTCGCGGCCGAGATCCTCCTCGCGCTCGAGGAGCTGCACAACCACGACATCATCTACCGCGACTTGAAGCCCGAAAACATCTTGCTCGACAGCGAAGGTCACATTCGCCTCACGGACTTTGGCCTTTCCAAGGAAGCCGTCACGGGCGCTGGCGCCGTCGGTGGCACCAAGGAACGCCCGTCGTATGCTCTCGCATCGCGCTCATGTTCGACTAGACGTTCTGCGGTACGCCCGAGTACTTGGCGCCCGAGATTCTCGAAAACAAGGGTCACGGCAAGGTACTTCCCGCCGTTGCCATGCAAATTTTGACCGAACGTTAGGCCGTCGACTGGTGGAGCTTGGGCACGCTCATCTACGAAATGCTCACGGGCCTCCCGCCGTTTTACGACCAAAACATGCAGGTAGATCGCCGCCGACGTTGACGCCGAGAGCTCACTCGCACTGTGTAGCGCATGTACGACAAGATCATCAACGCGCCGCTGCGGTTCCCGTCGTTCATGTCGGCGGAAGCCAAGAGCCTGTTGACGGGCCTCTTGCAGCGCAAGGTGTCGGACCGTCTTGGTAGCGGCCCGACCGACGGCGCCGAGATCCGCAACCACCCGTTCTTTGCGGGCATGGACTGGGACCAGGTCTACCGCAAGGAGACGACGCCCGAGTTCAAGCCGCCGAACCGCATGGGCTCGATCGACACGAGCAACTTTGACCTTGAATTCACGGGCGAGAAGCCCGTCGACTCGGTCGTGACGACCAACCTCAGCGAGACGCAGCGCAACAAGGCCAACTTTGCCGGCTTTACGTACAACGCCGAAAACGAGATGGACAAGTAGAGGACCGCGATGTGGCGCCGCGTTGGCGGTCTAGAAGGCGACGCGCGCCCGTCGTTTGCATGTTCTGTTCAATCCAACTCCTCATTCGATACATCGTCGTGGCAATTCTTTACAGTGTGGCGTTGTGTGTCGGTACGATCGGCCGTAGAGCTTCTGCACCTCGTGTATCTGGTCTTGTAAAAGACAACTTGACGATTTTACCACCGAGATAGACTAGTTTTCTACATCTCATTTCCAATTCCTCGATCGAAGCAAGATGACTCTCTACAGCGCAACGTACCACCAGGACAAGGAGGCCCGTCGCGTCGCGGCTTTGGAAGCCCAACTCCGCATCTCGCACCCGTTCCGCCGGCCTACCACCACCAAGTCGGTGGCCAAGGCTACGGCCAAGCCAGCTGCACGCTCCACCACTGCCACTGCGGTGCGCTCTGCGCCTCGCGCTAGCAACACGCCGATCGCGCGTCCTGCATCGGATTCGGCACGCGACCACAAGATGGAGATCGAACGTCTGCAAGCCGAGCACCAAGCTTCTTGGCTGCCATGACGGAGAAGCTGCATGCTGCCCACGACCACGTGCTGGAGCTTGCGCACCGCGTCCTCGGCGCGACGACACGGAT